CATATCCTTTAGGATAAAGATGAATCCTAATGCACGATTGATTATGTTGAAAGAAACATGAGTCTCTGCACATTCCTGGTAATTAAAGCACCATCTCAAAATGATGTTCCCTATCTAAAATCGGTGCTACAAAATCTTTGCAGTTTGAATTAAATCATATTCACGCTAAAACACTAATTAACAATTCTTTTTTAATCGTCTATTTTCCAGAGGAGCCACATCTGGATGTACTCATCTGCAACGCAGGTGTATTATGTGTACCAAATTTTACCTTAACTAAAGATGGCTACGAGAAGACATGGCAAAGCAATTATTTAGGCAAGTGAAAACCGCTTAATGAATGCGTTACAAGTGGTTCGATCACAGTTCCATATGATTACAAGAAGCTGTTCCGGAAATAGTCTATTGCATTTGCAGAGGCTCGCTTTCATAAAAATTAAATAGGTAATTCGCATTGCGCACAGGTTTCACACTGCTTAGACTGAAACGCTAGACCGGATAAATGAGATTGTTCTGTGGATGAATCATTTTTGGCTTTATTGGCCTCTTTTTTTTTGTGGTTTTAAAAAGTCCATTGAACATCTCGTTTCTGATTCTCTATGACGAAGAGAATCGGAGTGTTCTTGATGTTTAAAATAGTTTTACTTTTGCTAAATAGTCTTGCATAAAATGAAGCCGTGAGCAGCGCAGTTATCAACAATTGTCACTTTTCAGGCCATTTTCTTCTTTCTGAGCTCCTTTTGCCGTTAATATCAAAGTCATCAGATGGTAGGATAGTCAATGTATCATCGATATTATATGAATATGGTGATAGCGTAAGGTAAGTCCCAAGCAGTTATTCGTGTACAATATGATGAGTCTCTCTGATTACACCTTAGCACATCTACGAATTCAGTTTGGACGTCGTAAACGATCCATCGAAATATGGTGGTATGATGGCATACAGCAGAAGCAAATTGGCTCAGGTTCCTTTTATAGTCGTAGATTACTGCATGCAATGAATCAGCTACAGTCATTCCACAAAAATCTTCGTCAATAAACTTAAATCTTATCTAGGTGATGTATACAAGACATCTGGCTACGATTATTGAGAGCAAGAAACTTCCTGTGAACGTAACTGTTTGCCACCCAGGAGGTGTCGATACAAACATACTCCAAGAGTCCGGATATCAGTGGGTTGGGGTAGCATTTAGGTTAGTAGTGGCTGCC